CATGGGTTTCTAACCAAGTCGTTCCTGCTCTATTCTTAAGCAAAGCTTACACCCATACCCATCTTTTAATATTAAAGGTTTATTTCGTATTCTTACGCTTTGCACCAATCAAAACTCAATTATTTTCTCAACCCGAAACATTGTTTAAGAAGTTCATGAAAGTCTCTGATTCTCAGTAAGTCCGGTCCCTGTGGAAACGATCTGGTACTATACCACTTTATTACTTGAAGCGATCTTAGTGTCGGCGTGCACTTGCACCGCCACTTTGGGGATTTTATGCCCACTGTGTGCACACTTACGATTTTAGCACATCAATTATGTTTATCTACAGTTAGTTACACGCATTTAAAAATAAAGGTTTAATAAGTTGTATTTATGCATAATTTACTTGTAATCCTGAATTTTAAATAATATACATTAATAAATAATACTTAATACATAAAAAAATAATTTTTAAAATTTTTTATCAAATACTTTATAATATAAAATAAATATAGATTTAGAGTTTATACCGTAGATGCTGTTAAGTTCTAAAAAAAGCTAAATATGGTTATTAATAGTATATATCAAATCAAATCAAATCATATTTCATTATCTTTTTTATTTCTCAAGTCTTAACACTTAATACCATGAAGGCATGAACCAAACATCCTCTCTGCTCCGAAAAATCTGTTATTAAGGGAAATTTCTAGATGAATTATGAAATGACAAAATTGTCCCCAGGGGCCTTTTTTGTCTTTACGTGTTACTCCTCCATATGTGAACTCATTTTCAAAGTCTCATGCTAAACGACAAACCAACGCGTCGTAGTTGGAGTACCAGTACTACGTCTTCTCCGACACATGCCACGCTCTCGCTGATTCAACCACGTGGACGGTCAAGATTTCAACCCACCCCCATCACTATACTCTTAACTTGTGCCCGAAGTACCTCCCCCTAACCATGGTTAACGGCCGCCACTTTTAACCCCGTTTTTTTCCTACCCTTTTTTTTCTCTCCCAACATTTTTAATCCTCACTCTCTATCATCGTCGTCGTAATCATCATCATCATCATCATCATCATCTCTCTCTCTCTCTCAATCAAAACAACGGCCGCCATATTAGACCATCTCCGACGTGCTCCGGCTGGGTTTCCTTCAAATTTTTTGGTAGTTCTGCAGCTGAATTTCAAGCGGTTGTTTTGCTAAGGTTTTGTTTCTAGCTAGTCAACACGGAAAAGACACTTCAGTCTAGGCGGTGTAGGAATGACGCAGGTGATTCGGTTCCTAGGTAGATGAATTTGTCTGGTGTACAAAACTACTAATCTACGAAGCTGAGTTTTGATTTGTTGTTGCTTGGGATTTTAACTTATGGTTGATTTTGAGAGTTCTTCGGCAATGGCGGTTTCCGCAACTTCAGTTGAAGGAACTGAATGCTCATCCGGTGGTAACCAAATAGTAGCTGCTCCGGAGATTCAACCGATGAAGAAAAAGAGGAATCTTCCTGGAATGCCTGGTACTGTTGGGAATTTTTTTATATTTGTCGATAAACGTAGACTTCATTTTCTTTTTAAAGCTATTGCGATTAACTGATTTTGATTTGATATTGTCTGTTCATTCGTCGCAGATCCAGATGCTGAGGTGATCGCACTGTCACCGACGACTCTACTAGCAACCAATCGATTCGTATGCGAGATCTGCAACAAAGGCTTTCAGCGAGACCAGAACCTTCAGCTTCATCGGCGAGGCCATAACTTGCCGTGGAAGCTAAAACAACGAGACGGAAAGGAAATAAGAAAACGCGTTTATGTTTGTCCGGAGAAAAGTTGCATCCACCACGATCCGTCAAGAGCCCTCGGCGATCTCACCGGTATCAAAAAGCACTTCTCCAGGAAGCATGGCGAAAAGAAGTGGAAGTGCGAGCGGTGCTCGAAGAAGTACGCCGTGCAGTCGGATTGGAAAGCGCATATGAAAACCTGTGGTACAAAGGAGTATAGATGTGATTGCGGCACCTTATTTTCTAGGTTCAGTTTCTTCAACAAACTTCCTCTAAATTATGTAAAATCCATACATATGAGATCAGTCTGATTGTGTTTTTGATAATGAAGGAGGGACAGCTTCATCACGCATAGAGCTTTCTGCGATGCGTTAGCACAAGAGAGTGCGAGATCTCAAACTCAAAACGTTGTCATTAGTAATTCGGATCATCATAGTCATCGTCAAGAAACTGCGAAAGTGGAGGTTACTGTTCTTCCTCCGTCGTGTAGCCCCCCACCGCCGCCGCTTACTCCTTCCACCGGCGTACTCTCGCCTGTTCCATCCGTTCACAGCTCAGGTTTCGTAATTGAACTTTATCGTCATCAAAAAAAGTATACTTCAGCGCACTAGTTTGCTTTCAAATTTGCGTATCGTCGTGTCTCCACTGGCATCAATTTGTTTGTTGTAATGCATTTGTCCTTTATCGTGTGTTTTTTAGCGAGTGTGTGACAGATAGTGGGTAGTAGAACTCCATTAATGAAGAGCTCAAAGATCGAAGAAAAAGCTAGGTAATTAAAAAGAGATTTTGTGTGAAAAAGGACGCCATGATTGTTCCTGCTTTTCCTTTTGCTTGTAGTAGCAAAGTTCATACTGTTTGCTTTTTTGGATTCTAAGTACTTATATAACTCATAAACAATTACCATCAACTTTTAAACCCCATGAATGAAGCATGCTCTCCTATCTGCAACTTCCTTTTAGAGTGATCCTAATTTCGTTTTTGTTGAATCAACTTTCGTTATTTGTTTTATTTTTGAATCAACTTTCCTTTTTGGTTGCAGAGGTGCCGGAAAAAGCGACGGGGGTTTTACAACACCAGAAAGGTGCAGTAGCGGAGGCGGAAGCGGCGGAAAAATGCTTGGCAACAGCCACTGCTACTACGACAACCACTGCGAGTGGTGGCTCGACCTCAAGTGGTAACAATATTGTGACTGATAATACAGGTGTATTTGCAAGTATTTTTGCATCACCGTCCGTCTTGCCACCGTCTCAATCATCACCGGCGTCTTACTCCAATCTCGTCTGTGGTGTTGTCGAAACTGACCGGAACGCCAAGGTGGAACCAATGTCTCTTTCTTTATCGTCTTCCTTGTACCGGTCCAGCACCGCTGCCCCCTCCTTGTTCCCCCCACCTGATCAAACCCTCCACCGTCAATACGTGCAACCAGCTCTTTCCGCCACAGCATTGCTCCAAAAAGCTGCTCAAATGGGTGCAACATCGTCGAACACCTCATTCCTCCATGCACTGGGGTTAGCACCACCACCGCCGTCTTCCTCCGCCGATCAATACCAAGAAACTAGCATTGGTCAGTGGAGCAATATTCAAAGCAAACAGGAGAGAAACGACAACTCAGGGATTGGAAGAGATCAGATGCTAATGGGTCCGCCGGCACCCACCACCCTAGATTTTCTTGGGCTTGGGATGGGTGGCGGAACTGGTGGTTCCTCTGGTGGGTACTCGGCATTTTTAAGTTCATTGGGAGCAAGTGTTTCCGGCGGTGTATCATTTGGGGGAGTCCAAAATAAGGAGTGGGATGACTCCGGTGATAAGAAGCCGGCGCTTCTTTAGCTGCTTTCTCTCTAAATTTTTAATGGTGAAAGGAGAGAGGTGAGGTAAGGAGTTTGTGTCTTTTATAGTAAGCACATGACATTAAATTAAAATATATATACTCGTATGTCTTATGATTTTTAGTTATTATTATTATTTTTTATTAAAAAAATTAATTAATTTCTGTAGACAGCTAGCATCTTTGTATTCCTGCAGTTACAATGAATGATTAAAATTGAACCAGTTGACCATGATACCATTGACTACGTAACAAAGACGATTGGACTCAAAAGTCCAAAAAATGGTTCACCGAAAACCCTTAAAAATTTCGATATTTCTTCAACTAAGAACCTTGATAATGGTAGAAATCACAAGGAACTGTGACATCTGATTTTGCGAGTTGACTTGACAAAAGGAATTGGGAAGTCACTACAAGTATGAACAGGTATTTGATCCATATTTCAAACTCCTTATAACTGTTATGGTTTTGATTTTATTGTGTGTTGTAAGTTTTTTAAACCTGTTATATCGTCTCCTTTTATATATGTACCCACAAATTAATCCCTTTATTTAGGGGATTTATACTTAAAAGCTCTTTCAACTGTATAATATAGTAATTACCTCTTAGTTTTATTTGCAGTCACTAAAATCCCTATGGGGTTCATTTAATGCAACGACAAAACTATATCTAAATGATGAAGGTTGTCGAAATTGATGGGAAAGTCTCGTAAAAGAACCAATATGTCTAAAGAGGCAACATTTTGACTTGCAATGAATTCATCTAAGGTTATGATAGAGGTTTATGGACAAAATCAGAGTCTACGACATAACCCCGACAACAATAAGTTGGAACTCATGAAAAAAATATGAAAACGCAGCGATATTGTATCTTTTTAAAAAAAATCTTAAAAATACAATGACGTATATTTTTAAACATTTTCTTAAAACTTATTTAACTTTAAATTGAAAATTGATATATATATAAAGGGCAATATCTAATTTTTGTTTTTATTGAAAAAATGAAAAAGGAAATGAAAAAGAGTTGGGAAGGAAGAAGGGAGAGTGTAATTTAGAAATATATGTTTGCATGTGTGTGAGTGATAAAGATGGGGACTAATGTTTGGCAGTTGGCAATGGCATTATGAGATCTAAGACCTCACATGTTTTGGTCTTTTTTCAACTCCTTTTCTATTATTCCTCAACCTGCAAATTTTATTATAAATTTTAAATTAATTTTATATTTTATATTTGAAAATAATATAAATTACAAATAAAATGACTAAATATGTTAAATAAATTATATTAATTTTTGTTTTGAAATACGAATCCTTATTAAAAAATATATATTATATAAAAAATTATTACAATCATAAAAGTAACCGGCATTAACACACCATGCATCAAAGTCTTGATGCCCAACTTTTTCATAATCAGTAGATGGTAATGTCGTAAAACAACTCTAGAAAATTACTTTAATATCAGCATCATTCTTGCACAATGATATTAGACTGTCTTTTTCTATTGCAAAAATCATCATCAAAAGGTATGCCTCAAAAAGCATTTCGAAGAATTTAATTTGAGAGATCGACTCAGATTTAGGTACATTTAGGTTGTCTTTAAATCTTCTTCATTTAGTTGTCAAATTGATACCAAAACAAAGAGTTATGTTACAACGATGCTAACAATTCAATTACAAATAAGGAAGTTCAACTTATTTGCTTTATTTTGATTTACTTCGTTTACAACCAGATATTTTTTGTGACCTCTGAGTTTCTTGCTATCCTTCCAGAGCTAATGTCCAACAACTTCCAACTCACCTCAACACTAAGCCCCCCAAGCATCACCTCAAGACTCGGTTTCCACTTTCGGTTTTCTCATTTTGACTATGTTTTCATGACAAATTCCACTTTTATTAAAAGAAAAGTAATTAGACTCGTGCAAGGAAAAAACAATCCTTAACGAATGAGGTAATTTAATGAAAATACTTTAGCATATACCCCCTAAAAAGTATAACACTACTAACAGGTAAAAGAAAGAGGATACTAGATTGGAGGGCACTGCGAGAACTGTGGTCTTTCCCAAAGAGTTGTACTCGTACAATCGCTAAACACCCTTATATATCGTGACCACTACAGTCGTTCAAAGTTACCAAGAAGTACAAGCAATATGATTTAATTCTTGCAAGAACTCCGACTCACCATGAGACGTTAAAAAGGAATTCAATATTTGATTTGAGTAGATACTTTGCATCTATAGCCCTTTGAAGCTTGATAGTCAGTCACTTGAGGTGATACAAACAACGTGTATGCCTAAAGCCCTTCATGTTGTAACTCATCACAACGTGTACGTTTTATACGTTTCAGAATCTCAAGACAGTAGCTTGGAGATAATATTATCTTTTGTTTTACACATTTTATAATATATCATCTAGATAAAGCATGTAAAGCATTTAAAGGTGTATTGGTTGTATCACCTTGATAAACTATTACTAACCTAGTTGATGTTGAACGTAAAGTGTGAATAATACAAGTTTCACAGGTCCATGTTTCGACTGTGGATGATCCGGGCACACTGCGTGCATACCTAAGCTATCATGATTCGATATTTGTGTAAAGAATCTTACAGTAGCTCTTTTGTACTCATTAAATCGAAGCAAAGTATAACCGTAGAGAGCGTGAAACATAGCAAAACATTTATCCATCAGCAATAAATGTTGGGAAAATGTTAACCTTTTTACAATTTTTCTTAGAAAACATTAAAATCAATATCATTTTTTTGAAGTTGGAACGTAACCATTTAGCAACAAATTCAAATTGCAGCTTAAGAAGTATCATACTATCATTAAAGGAAGAAATGATGAAATTACAAGATAAAACACCCACCAGTTTTCTGGCTTTGGATGTGGGGCTGGTGTCATTGCTCATAGAAGATACAGAAAACAGATGTAACAACTGTGTCTTCAATCAAATCAAATTTTCAATGAAATTTTGAATGTAGTATTACATCTCCCAACGTTTTTTATTCAGACTCTAAATGTAAAATTAGAACATATACTTTTTAAATTTTCACAATATAATGACTGACTCTGTAAAAATACATCCCTCGTTTTTATTTAATATTTGAAGGACTATGTGAGAAGAAGAGTGACGGGGTAATCCATGGAGGAACCTCAAAAGATCCACAAAATACGTCAACAAATGAAATAAAGCTATATAAGTTGTTATTGTATTTAACATACAGTTATTCATTTTTCTGTTTTAACCCAGTTGCAAACAAATAACCGTGCAAGATAACATCATACAAAAATGTTCAACAAGCAAAAACACACAATTTTCTAATTCACAAGTGGAGTTCAATTATCACCATACAATGTAAGGTCTGTATATGTGTATGAACACATGATGATATTTTGATCTTATAATCCAAACTTGTACCAGTAAATAAATAATATGCAATATGAGAGATGTAATATCTGGCATTGGAATCGACCAAGTTTATTTTCACAAATATTTTCTAATCGAAAAACTTCTGCAAATACATATAGTGTTATATCGAACATATAGAAAATGTCTTTCATGCTTCCATTTCTTCGATCTCTGGTTTTGGTTCAGTCAGGTTGCAATTGCACAATCCAATCTGACCGGATTCAAACCAGTCACACAGATCTCCAAGCATGAGAACCAAACCGAACCAAGAAGACGTATAAATTGCCTATCATAACATGAATGAGAAAAATCACTTTTAAATTACCGGATTTATCAGCAAAACAACAATGTTTGACAGTTTGAGAGGCACTTTCTCATGATATTGTGTCATATATCACATGTGCATAATATAGGGCGACACTAAAAAAAAGTCATATAGTGCAGGAGCGCTCACATTTTTTGACCGTTCAGGTTTAAATCCTGAATAAAGAAATTGAGATTGGTTTCCAGAAGAATGAGGGGCAAGGGGATCGATCGAGAGCCATTTTCCCGATAAGGGCAACTTTTAGTCACCTAACAGTTATGCAAAGGCTCTACAGATTAGACTCCTTCATGTATGTTCGCAATTGACATATGAAAAGCCCAAATAATAACATTGAAGACAATAAAAAAGAACGTATATGAAAAAATTGGCAAAAAAATTGAGGTTCAGAATAAGTTTGCAAATTACAAGTAGCAATATACTATATAACAACAAAATTGCTGCCAGCAGTCTTAATACATAAATAAAACAGACTAATAATCTTACACGATAGACCTCAATGGCTTAATTCAAGCTATATAAAACTAAAAAAAGGCTTATAGTTTATGCCCCTTGTACGCTGAAACAAATATGAAAACCTTGAAAACTAAAAATTTACCTCTTCAACATGGTGGGCATCCCAAGCATACAAACTTTCATTTGGGACATAGAATGTAAGACAATTTCACAGAACCACTGAAACGTTTCTCTTTTTAGAGGTCGTAATTCTGGAAGCCGATTCGGAGCTCAATGGTCTCAGTGAAGTTACGTATCCTTTCCTTGGCATTTGATAATAATACGAGAAATAGCCTCTCTTAGGGCTTCTCTTTGAAACTTACTGCATAATCAAATATACGGTCAATTTTCCATTTATAGGAAACTTAAAGATCTTCAGATTCAATATAAAAGTTTGTAAAGTCCAAAGTTACATATACTCTAAAATCTTGCTTTTCAAAAACCTTATTGTCATTTGTGAAGTCCAAAATTACATATACTGAAGTCCAAAGTTACATATGCTCTAAAATCTTGCTTTGCAAAACCCTGATGCAAATACACCATGAAGAAAACTCTTGTAGAAAACTAAACCCTACATTTATGGAGTTCTCCAAGATTTTCCATAAGATATTAAAGAAATTCTTCGGAAAATTTGAACAAATTCTTCAAGAAGCAATAACAATCTCTTCATGATTCGTACAATTTTGTAGACTTGAACACTGCTTGCGTTAATAACTATTAACAGACGTCTTACTAACTTATTTAGGCTATGTTTTCGAGTCATGTTTTACGAAGAAAAGAAAGGAAAGAAGGATGGAGTAAAAAAATATAGAATTTTTTAGGAGGAAAATAACAACAATTAAACATATTTATAAAATTAGACATTTGTCCATCAATTACATTCAACTGTAAAGTAATACAGATTTATTTGTAAAACTGACATTTTTCCTTTATGTTTAAAAAACATGAAATTTTATTTTATTTTCTTTCTTATCCTTCACTCTCAAGAACACAAATAAAAGTTTCTCT